TTCCACCAGGAATGGAAAGAGTGTTCTGAAAAGAACGAGTATGTTTCTGGATAAGACTTGAAGCTTTGCATGACGGAGACAGGCTAAAGAGGGGGCTTGCGATAGCACCATATGGATAGATCTCTTTTGGAAGAGGTATGGTTCGGATCAACTCAATGTTTTCAACCAGCGTCCACTCCTGTGGATGACCAGAGCACACTGGTCAAAACATCAACTTCTCACTTAACAGTTCTTATTAGAACCACGCCTCTTCCAAAAGAGATCTATCCACATGGCGTATCCTTCCTCACAACACCATTAATGCAACATGTAATGTAAATTAATCAAGTCTATGAAGAGGAAGCACATTTTACCTCAAGCTCTGCAATCCTGCTTTTCCTTTCTTTAAGCTCTTCCTTCAGGTTATTGAGTGATTCTTGCTCCTGCTGAAGATGTTTCTGATGCTCTTTGGAAATGAAAAAAAAATTGTGCAATGTTTCAGTATTTGAAGTACAAACAACAGCGTGCTGTATTTTGAGATACATCCAAATAAAACTCCTAAACAAAACTAAAGCTTTCTACTAGTTCATTACAAGAGAGTTCCTCAGCTAACTTTGTCTCTGAGATACTCTGATATACTGTACAAATTCCTTGTTCTCCTACCATACGCTGCTACATATCTGCGCTGTGTCTGTATAATTCAAGCACATGTACATGTATGCACACACTGGTCTCATTAATGACCTCATATCACACAGCTCCAAGTACACTGACCAGCTTGAGAAATCCATTAGGACAATAGCCTTGATGCTGATATTAGCCTGTCTTTGTGGATGAGTGATGTACTGTAATAACTGCACCTGTCCCCCTGCCTTTTCCTTATGGCAACTTCTTAGAGATATCGTTGAATTTTCAGTTACAATGAGTAAATTTATAAGCACATTGTATCCTTGAAAAACTGCTATTTATAAAACAAAATTAAAATTGTCAACCTGCACTTTTGTCTACTAAGCATGTATCCCACTGTAGCATCTTAAAGGAGTTGTTTATGGGGGTTCCAGCGCTCCTACTGCTTTTTGTTTCTTTTTAAATATCTCTTCTTGGAATGCCATTCAAAGGTTACGCTGTAGGAATGTCTTTAGTAATTGTCTGCTTAGTATCTTAACATATTGTGATTTTTCAGTTATTTTGAGGGTGAGGTGTATTGTGTCAGGGTTAGGGTGAGGTGTATTGTGTCAGGGTTAGGGTGAGGTGTACTGTGTCAGGGTGAGGTGTACTGTGCCAGGGTTAGGGTGAGGTGTACTGTGTCAGGGTGAGGTGTCTTGTGTCAGGGTTAGAGTGAGGTGTATTGCGTCGGGTAAGGTGTATTGTGTCAGGGTTAGGGTGAGGTGTATCGTGTCAGGGTTAGGGTGAGGTTTCTTTTTGTCAGTTGTGACTGATTTTACCTTTTGTATCTTTAAAACATTTGATTGACTAAGTTTTTGATTGTGGTAATATACCAGTGGAAGCTAAATTTCTGTTTTTTACATGAACTACATTATAAATGAATGAATGAATTTCTATGTTAAACAAGTTTCACATTGCACTTCCTACCACATTTCAAAGTTATGGTACATACGCACACACTATCAATCAAGTTATGGTACATACGCACACACTATCAATCAAGTTATGGTACATACGCACACACTATCAATCAAGTTATGGTACATACGCACACACTATCAATCAATAAGTCTATTCTGTTATGACTTTAAACAACATACAAATAACATACTGTGATTGCTTCAAAGCTCTCACTTTACAACAACCAGTTGATAGTTACAGTAACCACTAGAGGGAGCTATATAAGCCAAGAGCAGAGTTCAAGGGGCAAGTAAGTTGGAACAGTCTAGAAAAACAGCACATCTACAGCTTGCTCCTCATGTATCTGTACTGTAGCTGCAAAACTAGTCAACAGCCCTGATCAATGCATGAATGAAATCCTAGTTGCGCTATTTAATGACAGATTACCCATAGTAAAGTTTCCACACATGGACCATTCTAACCTAAACAGTTTTTCTCAATGATGCAATGGAATTTCAGGAAAGCAGTGACAAGCCCTGTGATGAGAAAAGTTCAAATATTTTTAATTTGTTTATTTCTTTGTGGCATGTGACTATTTACCTTTGATTCTAGCTTCTCTCTTCTCTAGATCTTGGATCTTCTCAGCAAATTTAACCTCCTGCTCTACTTCATGCCTACAAATCAGTAAAAAGTGAGGTCCTCAAGATTAGTTTTATTTATGACAGATGCTTATCACACTTCCTTTTGTACTTTGACTGGAAGTAGAGAGGTATTCAAGTCACCAGTGTCTAGTCTGAGTCCGGAGCCACTTGGCAGCATGAGTTTTGAGTCACTTGTTTTTAAATACAAAAATTTGAAGAAGTCACATTGATACTCACACGTAGGGCTGAAAGGATACATCAATAAATCAGTGCATCGCTATACATTCGTTCGTGATACGATATAACACCAGAAATTTTGATAGCGCTACTTAAAATAAAAACACAGCGGCAGTACATACATCGAGACAATCATGCGTGTTGCATGACAAGTGCAAAGTGTAAAATTGAAAATGCCACAAGTTTAAGTCTCAACATGGAGCGTTTCTTCAGTTCAAGTGATGCATTTGTGACTGCAGTGTTTGTATCAAGTTACAGTGCGTCAAGTTCACGAACTCGGCTGTATGCACATATGTACATGTACTATGATTTGGTACAACACATACTGTGCATAAGAAAGGGTGGTGGACGACGAGCGAAGCTGTGGTGTGCACACTGATTTTTCGTCAAGCGTAGCTTGAGGGCCCCCTACACAGTGCAAGCTGTAATGGATTGATACCTTTCTTGCCTTGAAGCATTTTTATACAGTAGTCATTTCTGGCACCTACAGATAAACCTTTTTGCAATGTTACTAGCTGGCTTGCAATTATTTTTAGCGTGCGTATTAATTTTAGGGGGCCGGACAAAACAAAGTTTTGTCAGAACTGCTATCACTA